TTACAAAATCTACTGTGAGTAAGCTGGTAAAAAAGTTTACCCAAACTGATGCAATGAAAGATTTACCCAAATCTGGGCGCAGGAAAACTAAATTAACTGAAAACAATAGCTATCTTAATATTACTTTTTCATGGTTGGCTCACACACAAACGGAAAATCCTTTACCACTCAACGAGCGGCGTGTACACTGAGATGTCGATGGACATTGCGCTGTAGGTTATAGTTTTCGAGAAAAGTATTCATGCCTTTGGAAGTTCATTCCAGAGCTAGGCAGCCCTCCAGACCAAATTGACTTCTGAACAGTGACGTCCTAGGTGTTCGCAGCTGAATTGTATGTTCATGAGCTGCTTGTGTTGACGAGTGTATCTGTTTGGTACAACTCTGGGCAGAGTCACAAGTGTCAGTTAATTCGAGCACCTGCTGTAATGATATCGATAGAATAGTGATAGGTCTACCACTTTTTCCCGAGGTTTATGGCTATTAATGGTATTTGGTCAACTCCAGGTCAGCAACAGTTTTCGAGGGATGCTCTATAGAGCGCCCCTAGCTTTTGTGCTGGTGCCTTGGCACTCGACAGGAGCTATTAATTGATCACTTCTCCGAACTGTTTTTTTGCCTTTTTTTCTTCTTCTTCGCCATTGGTCTGCTTACAGTGGTTTCTAGTCGTGAGAATGTATTGAGATTTTAGGCTGTCGGATTACGATGCCATTTGCAATAAGCAGCATTTTTATAATTTCCCGCTGTTGAGCAGTTTTTATTGAACCATGGTTTGATAGCTAGTTCACAGGTTGCGGAGTTGGGATTGTGATCTGATGAACCCAACGAGGGTTGAAAAATCTAAATTTATCCAACCCATTACAGCAGCTGCTCAAAATGTTGTCCGTTGACTTCCAGACAACAAGCCATGCGATTTTTAAAACTTTGCAATACATTTTGCAACATCCCTGTCTGCTCTATTCTTCTTATCTCGTTGGTGATTCTATCTCTCAATTCCTCAATATTGAGAGGTTTTGTTTTATAAACAGTGTTTTTCAAGTGGCCCCATAGGAAATAGTCTAGAGGATTCATGTCGGGTGATCGAGGAGACCATTCGATAGATCCACGCCTTCCAATCCATCTTCCGGGAAACAAACGATTTAGGTATTGTCTCACCTCACGGGCATAGTGGGGTGGAGCTCCATCTTGTTGCAGCCAAATATTGTTTTGGGGAATATTGTTATTGTCTGAAAGTTTCAATAAATTATTTTTTTTTTTAATTTTAAAGGCAATTGAAAATACTCACTTGGATTTGGAAATAACCGAGCCAACTCAGGTATAATACTATCTTCCAATAAACGTAAATACGCGGGACCATTCAAGTTTCCTTCAATAAAAAACGGTCCAATTATTCTGTCGCCTATTATTCCAGCCCATACATTCAGTTTCTCGGGATATTGGGTGTGGGATTCACGCATCCAATGAGGATTGTTACGAGACCAGTATCTACAATTATGCCGATTTACGTTGCCATTGATAAGAAAAGTGGCCTCATCGCTAAACATAACATTATTTAAAAAATTTGGATTGTTTGGATCGTAACATTTTCTCATCATTGTATCGGCAAACTCCTCACGTCTATCAAAATCGTCATCTGACAACTCCTGAACCAACCTCACTTTGTATGGATGGAATTTATTACCATGCAGAATTCTCATCACGGTTGTTTGAGAAACTTCAAGTTCCCTGGATATTTGCCTAGTACTCAAGTGAGGATCGTCTTCTAACATGACACAAACATCTAGAGATTTGTTGTCAGTTGATTTAGTCTTCCTGCGCCCTGATTTGGGTAGATCTTTTACTCCAGCAGTTTGGGTAAACTTTTTAAGCAATTTACTAACAGTTGATTTTGTAATGGGATTGCGGTTGGGATATAAATCATTGAAAATATCACACGTTTCTTGTTGACTTCTACGCCTATCACCATATCCCAATATCATCAAAATCTCAATTCGTTCTTTTTCAGATAAACGATTCATTATCACATTCAATGAAAACTGACAAATAATAATTTACTGAAACGTGAAAGCTATTATTTTTGTAGTCATAGAGATCTTAAGGTGTGCACAGACATGACGAGACGCTCCCGCGACGAGCTCTCATCACGCGGGACAAGCCAATGAATTATTTCAACTTTTGCGGTTTTTAATGTAAATGTAGCTATAATTCCTAAATTAAGGCATTTGGGTATAGGAAACATTTCATGAAAAATATTCAGTATTATTCAGGGATTACGAAAACTGAAAAATATACAGGGTGATCCATTTGAAATAACAAAGTTCCTAATAGTTGCCAAAAATCGAATGATCTGACAACCATGTAAATGGCACGATAATATCGGCCATATAACAATACCCTCACATACCAAAATTTATAAAAATCGAGCAAGCCGTTTTTGAGATAATTGGGCGTTTCCATACATAAAACTCACTCTGTATGTGGAGCATATAGGAGTAGCAAGCATAAACAGAGGGGTGTTCCGATTACAAATAAATATAGACAAAACAAGGATCAACGAAGACGTAGCAAATGCTTCGAGAATCATCGAAGAATTCCAGCAGCTGTGCAATAAAACAAAGGCCCTATCCCAGGAGACCCAGTGTCATCTTTTGTCCAAGCACTTAATTGAAAGAGAAAAAGAGATTCTTCTTGTGAAAGAGAGTATGCAAATAGCAGGAACCCGCAGGAAAAGAGGATTATTTGGAGAACTACTTACCTCAGTCTTTGGAGTAAACGACGAGGTATACAGAGACATCAGCAGCTTGCAGTCGAATCAAGATGAACTTATAAAGGCAGCCAACCATCAGAGCAAAGTAATGATCAGTGCCATTTCACAAATAAACGAGACAGAAGTTCGCATCCAACGTCAATTGGAACAGTTCAGAACAAAATTGAATCAAGGCATTGAGGCAGTAAATGCAATGAAAAACTGGTATAGCGCCGTCGATACCAACTCGTTGAATATTCATCTGTTGAGTGCATACAATCTAGCAAACAACTACCTCGACGAACTATGAGAGTACTACGAGAAACTCTTCAGAATCCTGTACAACAACGCAACACTGTATGAGTTATTAGCGCCAAAACACGTAAAGACAATCATCACAGAAGCAAACAAAAAACTACCCTCAAATCTGAAGATAGTACAAGCACCGATCACATTGACGAAGGTAGAAAAGGACGAGCAATCACTAAAAATATTTACATTTTTCATGATCGAAGATATTTCCAAGTTTGAAGTTCTGAAGATTGTGCCCACGCCACTAAAAGTAGAAAATGGGTCATATTGGACAATTGAAATTCCCAGTGAGATAGTAGCAGTGGACTACAATAATCAGCAATATTTCCAGCAAAGCGATCAAGAATTCACCTCATGCATATCGACATCACAAAACAAATATGTGTGCTCTCCGACAGCAGTGAAAAATATAGAGACCAATCCGAATTGCATAATTGACGAAATATATCAAAGATCGGAGTCAACTCGGTGCGGAGTCCGGAAGAATGGACTAACATCCATTGTTTGGAAGCAACTCTACATGCCTAATACATGGCTATTCATCACAAAAAATCCTACCAAAATAGCAGTGATATGCAAGGGAATCAGAGAAGACATTGCTCTGAACCAAAGTGGAATACTGCAAGTGGAACAAGATTGCATAGTCAAAACGAAACAAAACACTCTGACGACAAGACGAGTAAGCACCGCTCCAGTAATTGCGAGTTATTCCAAGGCGATTCTCATCAACATAACAGACGTCCCGCAAAATAACGAACCAGAACAACTCGAAGAAGAGCCAATTTTCAAAATCTCCGACAGCTTGAATACAGTGAGACTAAATGAAGAAAAGATTCGGGAACAGCTACAAACGGCAATTTGGAAAAACATACAAACCCACACATACGCCGCCACTGAAGTGTCAGCAGCAATAATTTTTGCGATATTATTATTAGTATGGGTCATTCAAAAACAAATAACGAACGCAACCCGACGCAGGCAGAGGAATAGGCCGGAGTCAGCAAAACAAACTGAAATGCTCGAGTTGCAGCCACTACGCAACCTAGACTCAGTCGAGACAGGGGAGAATGTTGAATCAACATAAATTAGAAATTTCAACATAAATTTTAATTTAATCTGAAATTTCTACATCATTATAAAATCCACAATTTATTAGGAAATAAGGCAAGGTAATTAAACCCATCGCAAACCTTGCCCAAAGTTACTAAAAAACCACGAATCGATGTTCACGGGTTTTTCACCTTAATTTCCGTTATGATACCGCGTAGCGCCAGTGGTTTAGATACAAAGTCAACACACCTTTAATTGTTATTAAGTTATGAAAAATATTGTAATTAATTATTATTAGTTATGATAAATATTGTTAGGTTCAAATTGAAATATTTAATATAAATAAGAATCAATTTGAATAATAAAGCCAGTATCAAACAATAATAGTTTCTACTCATTTAATTACACAAAGTAGCCATTTGTGATAATTATCCCCAAAGTTCTTCCCTAAGGGCTTTGTAGTCGTTATCTTGGTTCAAGATAACTAGTGACTTTCAGGCAATAATTCCTGGACGTCACGCACAGAGATACGGACCTTGGAGGCCTTACAACCCTCTAGTGAACTACACAAAGGGCCCAACTCTGTTCAAATAACTTTGCATGCGCATTGGAAAAACAAGTCCACTTTAGACAAAGAAAGCATCGTTCTATCTCATAATGTTTGCTTCAAGAACTCAAACCAACCCGCGATATACATACCTAGTATAATAAGTATATGTGGGGGAGTTAGGGAAGCATGACACGAGCATAATCGAGTATGGTTGGTTATCCTCGCGAAAAATTGCCTATAAATGATGGTGCTTATAAAAGTCGTGGAGAATGAAGACGTACGGAAGATAGCAAGTTTTGGATTTTTCAAGAAATCTAATTTTAAAACGAATAAATATTATTTTAGTTAAGTACCCCCAGTTTTGGCAGCCAACTGGTATCAACTGCAGGGTCCCAAATTACCCCTCAATCGATTTTAACTTCTTCAAAGGATCCAAACGGCTTTAATGACACTTTCCGAGAACAACCTAAATCGGTCCGATTTAATTTGGAACGCTCTCCATCACCTTTGAAGATGACGATTGAAAAACCAAAATGTATGGGATATGATTTTTCTAAACGGGCGCATCTTAGAGGCTCTTTGGGAGAAGGACATGAAAATCCGTTCGATATGTTTCCGTTTGGAAATTCTTCTACACAGTTTAGTTATAAAAACGTTCCGGTAAGGAATTGTGAATTTACTAGTCAATTAGGTTTAGTCAAAATTTGGTTGTATGTATTTATGATATTTTTAGGAGCAACCTTCCAGCTTGAATAGCTCTTTCAATCTTTCTTTACCAGAAGCAGAAGATGAGGATGCTGGTGGAATGGAATTGATTAATTCTGGTGAATGATTTTTTAGTAAACGCATACTATACACAGTACAAACTGAAATTAGAGCAGCCTTTGATTGGTTTCTCAAGTCTCTACCTCTCACTACAATCAATAAATATACAGGGTGCCCAACGAGGTTTTACCCAGGAGATAACTCTGGTCTTCGAAACCCGTCATCGAATTTTCCACTTTGTACTTTTTTATCATTTTCTTTAACAAAACCTCAACAAATATGGCATTGCCGATTTTGTAATTTTTTTAAATTTTTTCCAATCAAATATCATACCTAATTTAAGTGAATGGTGGCTAGTAAATTTGCAAATTTATTTTAGGAAACGAGAATATTACTGATGATCCATTTGGAAATGGCGGTGAAGTGCCTGGGACTGGATCTGCCGGAGGATTTTTTTCTTTCAATCCCCAAGGGTTCAAGTTCCCATTCCAGTAGCTTAAATTGTTTATGTTATGTATTTACTATTAACTCAAGTTGTTTTTTTTTTTGTTATTGGTTCACCCTTAGCATTTAATCTTGTAGTTGGTTTAATTTGTTGATGTAGGTACCTACAAATGGTACAAGTATTATAGTTAGAATTAATAGTTGTTTAAACTAGTTAATATAATGGATTACCTATATTAAGTGTCTGTTTAATTACCAAAAATCTACAAAATAATTATGTAGGTAATAATTAGTTTTTCAATATACAAATTAACTAAATCCTAAGGATTTTTGGCCTTTTATAGGGTCTTTCCTGTGCCAATGGCAATCTGCCATGATGATTCTACATTATTGTCATTGTCAAAAGCAATTTTGATTTTTGTCACAAGACTCGGGTGAAAGCAAACATTATTCACAATGAGATGATAGTTTTCCATAATTTCATTTAACTATGAATTTTCAGACCCAAAGTAACATTTTTAGCTTTAAACAAATGTTAAGAGATAAGTATAGTCTATCGTTTCTCAAATGAGACTAGACAAAAAATATAGGACACCTGAAAGACGTATTTTTCTCTATAACTTTGAAACTCTTCACAAATGGATTTTGAAAATTTGGGTATTTTATAAACATTTGATGGCAATAGACCGATCTCCTATTACCTGGACTGCGCGCGTCGCTTGTAGGCTGCAGGTGAGCGTCCAATGAGAAGCAAGTTTGGTACAGGTTTGCGTCATATTCTTATTCAGGGGCCAGTTCAGAGTGAATCGTTCCTTCTTTCTTGGTAACGTGTAATTCGACAAAGAGCAAACTAATACTTTACATATTACTCACCGCAGTGTCGTTTAAGGTTTTGTCAGATTATACTTGACATATTCCTTTGCAATTTCATTGTGCGATGTTGCCGGATGAAACATTTATCAAAATAAAAGTGTAAACGATGTTAACATAAACTTTTCAAGCGCTTCTTTTGTCTGATTCAAGGCGTTGACACTTGACACTATATCACTTCTTTAATGTTATAATGTTCGATTTGTATTGTCTTTATTTGTTCTGCAACAATACAATCTGGCTACACTGAACCTACGAGTTGCGCGCGCATGTCATCTTTTATTACTTTCTAACTTGTATTTATTACAATTAAGCTCTCTTTCTCTATTTATGCGAGACAGGTCTATTAAGATACTAAATTGAAATTTCAAAAATCTTAATCAGTGGCGTCACATACTGGGGAGGATGAGGGTTAAAACATCCAATTTTTTTTACTCGTCAGGTTTTTGCGATTCTGATTGAAAATTCAGAAAGTTTACAGTTTTTTACACAGAAAAGCTACTCTTGGTTCAATTCGATACAGCGTACCGTTTACGAGAAAATTGACTTTGAAAATTTTCTGATTTGCGTATGTTTCGCAAAAACCTGACGAGTAAAAAAAAATAGAGATGTTTTCACCCTCCCCAGTATGTGACACCGATTAAGATTTTTGAATTTTCAATTTAGTATCTTAATTGCCATCAAATGTTTATAAAATACACCAATTTTCAAAATCCATTTGTGAAGGGTTTCAAAGTTATACAGAAAAACACGTCTTTCAGGTGTCCTATTCGAAGGGGCGTAGCTCCCTTAGGAAGCATTTCCGAACCCATGTTAATAGGAACTTTTTGTCTTATTTTTATGCAAGAAATACGCCTCCGAAAGGATGCCGCTTACTTTTGAATCACCCTGTATACAGGGTGTCCCACTAAGGTCGACGAGGTACGTTATTATGGAAACCATAGACCTTACGGCATCGGGATTTTTTTCTTCATCACTAAATCGGCCCAGAGAAATTGATGGAAATTATTTTCAAGTTTCTAAGATGGCCGCTAGGGGGCGCAATCACGATGATATAACTAAAAATTCAAATTTTGTCGAACAATCGCTTTATCAAGGTACTGTTTTAACAACAGAAATCAAAAGTTCGTTAATTTTTGCGCCAGTTTGCTTATTAGCCTTTTTTCGTATCTCCACTAATAAGGGTGGGGGAAGCTGGGGAAAAAATAGTTTTAAAAATTGCTGTATCTTCCATACCCCTTATCCAAACTCATTCAATTCGGGTTTATTCGAAAGAGAATTTCATTGTTATTAAGAGCACCACTTCGTTCGGGGTCGATAGTTCCTGTCGCGTCTTCTAGAGGGCGCTATTCAACCAAGATCCAGATTTTTTAAATTTTCTGGAAAAATCCAAATGGCATGATATATTTTTTTAAAACTCTGCTTAAAGAGCAAAAAATTATCTACATTTTGGCGCAAACCGCAATCCGATATCTGCATTCGTTTTCAAGTTATTTGCAAATAACTATTTTAATCGAATATCTCCCTCCTGTCATTTTAAACCAATCAAAAAAACTCATTTTGTGGTCAAAAATTATTTTCAAGTGGAAAAATTTCATGACATGACATGAAAATAAAATAAAATACTCATAAATGTTAATAAATCAATAAAAATTTATTGTTTTGCTCAGTAAGGAAACATTCTTAAGACCACTCGTGCATCTAATTTTTCCTGACGCAAAATCTAAAAAACTCGTTTGCAAGTAATTTGTTTACCAAAATACTGGCGTGAATTTTTTTTATCTATGAGTATGTGGAAGGTAGCACTTTACAGCACATGTGCCGTTAAGCCGTTAAGGGCTTTACCGCACGCGACAGCAGTTGTCATGGCGTCAAGAGCGGTAAAGGCACTTTCGGCATGTGTTGGTACAAAATTTCAGCTTCGAGTGTCAATATTTTTGTATTTCAAGTACTTTACCGCACGGGTGCTGTAAAGTGCTACCTTCCACACACTCATAGATGAAAAAAATTCACGCCAGTATTTTGGTAAACAAATTACTTGCAAACGCGTTTTTTAGATTTTGCGTCAGGAAAAATTAGAAGCACGAGTGGTTTTTGTTAAGAATGTTTCCTTACTGAGCAAAACAATAAATTTTTATTAATTTATTAACATTTATGAGTATTTTATTTTGTTTTCATGTCATGTTATGAAATTTTTCCACTTGAAAATAATTTTTGACCACAAAATGAGATTTTTTGATTGGTTTAAAATGACAGGAGGGAGATATTCGATTAAAATAGTTATTTGCAAATAACTTGAAAACGAATGCAGATATCGGATTGCGGTTTGCACGAAAATGTAGATAATTTTTTGCTCTTTAAGCAGAGTTATAAAAAAATATATCATGCCATTTGGATTTTTCCAGAAAATTAGAAAAAACTGGATCTTGGTTAAACAGCGCCCTCTAGAAGACGCGGTGGGAACTATCGACCCTGAACGAAGTGGTGCTCTTAATAACAATGAAATTCTCTTTCGAATAAGCCCAAATTGAATGAGTTTGGATAAGGGGTATGGAAGATACAGCAATTTTTAAAACTATTTTTTCACCAGCTTCCCCCACCCTTATTAGTGAAGCTACGAAAAAAGGCTAATAAGCAAACTGGCGCAAAAATTAACGAACTTTTGATTTCTGTTGTTAAAACAGTACTTAATATAGCGATTTTTCGAGAAAATTTGAATTTTTAGTTATATCATCGTGATTGCGCCCCCTAGCGGCCATCTTAGAAACTTGAAAATATTTTCCATCAATTTCTCTTGGCCGATTTAGTGAAGAAAAAAAAAATCCCGATGCCGTAAGGCCTATGGTTTCCATAATAACGTACCTCGTCGACCTTAGTGGGACACCCTGTACATATGGAGCGGGCCCGTATACATTGGATGCGAATCCACGTGCGAACAATGCATCCTATTGGTTGTTTTATACAGTCAACGTTGACTCCAAGAATATCTTATTGGTTAGGGAGGCCGCACATCAAAGAAACATGAAACGTGAAACATGAAACATAAAACGTGAAACACATTTCATGAAAATAGAATAAGGGCAAACAAATAGAAGTCCGCCCATCAATGAAACGAATTTGTTTCATGCGCGAGAAACATTTTTGTTACATGAAACGTGTTTCATGAAATAGATCGCGTTCTATATTTTTGTTTCAGTTTCACGGTTTTTGGTCATAAATACACTCATAAAAAAATTAATGAAGACAATGAAGACCAAGAAATTATTATTGTGTTCGTTTCGGTGATGGAGCTTTATGGAAAATTGTATAATTATAATGGAGGAGTACCTACTCGAATAGACAATCACAAGAAAAACCCTGGCAAAACGTTGCCTTATCGTATGGATGTACCCAGTAACGTTGTTTCCTTTTTTTTGGCTTTAGGACGATAATAAAAAGGTTGCCACAACAGCAGTTGTTGTTGCCCATCACTTTCCATTGTATGTGTCGTGAATTAAAATGCAGACAAAATCTTGTAGAAAATATAATTTAAAATTAAGTCTGCCATTTATTATTATTTTTATATCAAATCAAATTTCAGGTTCGCAATTCAGGGAATAATTCTATTTATAGATTATTTTTTGTTCAAACATGCACCTATGCCTACGTAAAGGGCCCCATACACTACGATGAAACACGACGGTTTTCACCGCCACGATGAAACACGTCGTTCTAAAACCGAAGTGTGTAATAGAAAAACACGACGGTTTTCTACAGGGCCCCATACACTACGATGAAACACGACGGTTTTCACCGCCACGATGAAACACATCGTTCCAAAACCGATGTGTGTGGTAGAAAACCGTTCGTGTATACGAAATGTTGAACCGTCGTGCCAAAAATCAAGCTCGGACTGAATTCACTTCGGTTTTGGAACGACGTGTTTCAACGTGGCGATGAAAACCGTCGTGTTTTATCGTAGTCTGTGGGGCCCTGTAGAAAACCGTCGTGTTTTTCTATTAAGGGCCCCATACACTACGATGAAACACTACGGTTTTCCCTGCCACGATGAAACAAGTCGTTCTAAAACCGAAGTGTGTTATAGAAAAACACGACGGTTTTCTACAGGGCCCCACAGACTACGAGGAAACACGACGGTTTTCATCGCCACGATAAAACACGTCGTTCCAAAACCGAAGTGTGTGGTAGAAAACCGTCGTGTTTCATCGTCGGTTCAAAATTCAGTCCGAGCTTGATTTTTGGCACGACGGTTCAACATTTCGTACACACGAACGGTTTTCTACCACACACTTCGGTTTTGGAACGACGTGTTTTATCGTGGCGATGAAAACCGTCATGTTTCATCGTAGCCTGTGGAGGCCCTGTA